CTATGGCAGTAGAGAAATGGGTCACAAACGGAAAGCCAGGGAAGGCACAGATTCGGAAGTTCAAGAACAGATGGGCGATGAAAAGAACAGGAGGACCCACAGGAGTTCAAGAAAATACAACAGGGAAAGGTCGTCAGCTGATCAAGAAGAGAGATATGAACATGATAGGGTTCATACAGGTGGTGATAAGTCGCAGAGAGAAAGATCGAAACATCGGAATGAAAGAAGCAGCTCAAGATATTCGCATGAGGAAGATTCAACTGAAAGTAGACATCATCCGCAAAAAGGATCAGACATTCAAGACGATGACAGGAAGAGAGGTGTTGAGACTAGTCCCAGAGACTATCAGTCAGATAAAGATAGGGACAAAAGCAAACAGAGACAGAGATACAAGACTCGAGATCCTGATTCTGACCGAAGCAGGAAAGGAAAACGACACAGAAGAAGCTCGGGAAACGGTGTAAGCGTCCGAGAATGGCCAGAACTCAATGCAAATGGAAATAGACAGAATGTAAGTTGTTCATCAAGTGATAAGGAGAGTTCAGATAGAGAAGAAACTCACAAAGAGAGACCTCATCGCCATAGAAAAAGAAGAAGATCACAACAATCACACGACCAGAAGACTCCTAAGGAATCAGAGGAAGACGAAGGAGAGATTGAGCGTTGGAGACCAATGTGATCTTAAACAAGAGATTGGCCTCTTCATTTCTCCTTTGTAAATATTTTAGTTTTATCACTTTAAAGAGTTTTTTGTTTTGACGAAAATCGAATTGAGTTATGTTAAATTAAATTTGGTTTTTGTTAATGGATATATGGCATTTTTGAAAATAAATTTTAAATGATAAAGAAATGAATATAGATGAAAAAAATGTGACATATACATGTCTTCGCGGCACATTTTAACACCAAAGAAAGAAAGAGAAATTAATCGGTCACTGGCTGCACCATGACGATAGCGACGCCTTTCAGCGGTGCTGCGAATTCGGTTGCGGCGGCGAGGACCGTTCTGATAACGGGAGTGAGCAAAGGTCTCGGAAGAGCCCTAGCTCTCGAGCTGGCCAAGAGAGGTCACACTGTGATTGGATGCGCTCGTACTCAGGAGAAGCTCACCGCTCTTCAATCGGAGCTCTCCTCTCCGGCCAATCATCTCCTCCTCGCCGCCGATGTGGTAATTTCCGCTCTTCAGACTCTCGTGCTTGAACCATTCCTATTTTGTGTGATATTCAGTCGGCGTTTCTGGTCGTAATTGTGAAAGAAATTAGATTTGGTAATTATTGAAATTGTAAATTTTGCTGGATACTGATTGAGACTTGCTCACAATTGCTGACATTTTCTTGTCTCTGTTGATATTTCTTCTTTCTTTCACTTTGCTTTAGCAAGATTTCTCTCTTAGATATGTGAGTGTATCCACTAAGATGTGTTTTTAACCAATAAAGTTTTGGAATTTGGTGAAACCTTGTTTTCCGATCAGTTGATGAACTCGTGTGCTCTTCTGTGGGTTCTGCTGTGAGGTTAGCGTTTGAACTTAGCAAGATTTATGGTCTATGCTTGCAGAAATCAAACAGCAGTGTCGAAGAGCTGGCACACACAATTATGGAGAAGAAGGGTGTCCCAGATATCATAGGTAATGTTTAGAACCTTCTTTGACACTTTGCGTTTTAGAGTCTTCAACCTGTTACTGCATGAAGATGTTATTGTATTCTTTAGTGGTGTCTGAATCTTGTAACTATCACTTGTTGTAGAGAAATCATCTTTTCTATAGGGAAATTTTTTCTTTGGTAGACCAATCACCCTGAGATAGACTTATCTCAACAGGAAACGGGGAAAGCTATGGTCATCATTTGTGAGAGCTATAGTCAGATGATGTCTGCTATTGAGTTCTTGATGTGCTCCTTTCGTTCTTTCCTATGATAAAGCTGTCATGGCATGTAATTTTGGTCTTCCCTTTAGTTCCTGAGTATTCTGAAGGAGGTGGTTTAACCCATCTGCCTTCATATCCATTGTTCGCATGCAAGAATTCATCCCTTTTTCTCAAGGGGAATGTCTGTAGATTTGATGTTTACATGATATATATCTCCTTCACGTTGTAGTCTTAGTGTTGGTAAATTCATTGCAGTTAACAATGCCGGTACTATCAATAAGAACAGCAAGATTTGGGAAGTCTCTGCAGAAGATTTTGACAATGTTATGGATACAAACGTTAAAGGAGTAGCAAATGTGCTGCGCCATTTTATCCCTTTGATGCTCCCGCGTAAGCAAGGGATTATTGTGAATATGTCTTCTGGATGGGGACGATCTGGTGCTGCCCTGGTGAGTTTCAATCACCATATGTTTGAATCACGAGCTGTTACCGTTTTGTTTGTTTTTTAGCCATAGAGAGGTAACAGAGTCAATTGAAACATAGAGAAGTATTGATAACTGGAATTTCACTATTATCTTGAGCTAGAATTTGTCTTAGACAATGACGCTGGATACTTTTTCCCCGTATTGGAGTAAACACTCCAAAATTATCGTATATATAAACAAGGAAATATGTTCATTGATATGTAGATAACTTTATCCCTGATAGGCTTCTTTTGTGCTCTGCGTTTTTGCATTCTTATGATTTGGGCATATCAGACCTGAGCCCTTAGAGGTTAACTTTTGAAACCAAAACTGGATCTGCAGGTTGCACCTTACTGTGCATCGAAATGGGCGATTGAGGGTTTAAGCCGAGCAGTGGCAAAGGAGGTAGGTGAAGGAATGGCAGTGGTTGCATTAAATCCAGGCGTGATCAACACAGAATTGCTCACTTCCTGCTTTGGCAACTCAGCTTCCTTGTACCAAGCTCCTGATGCTTGGTAAGTAACACTCAACCTCCTCAGAATATTTTACACATTTGTAAAAATGTATTCGCTTGCTTTTAATCAGTTAATCAGAACTTTTATGTTTCATTTCTTGCGATAAATCGTTTTATTTAGGTTCTAATAATCCTAATCATAAGCCTAAACCTTTGATGTGGGATTGCAAATGTAACAGGGCTGTGAAGGCAGCGACGATGATTCTAAACCTTACAGCGGGTGACAATGGCGGATCTCTCACGGTCTAACAACTAAACTACACATTTCTTCTCATCTCTCTCTGTTACTTTTCAAATCACATTTCTACCCAAGCGTTACTTTTTAAAAATCAAGAATCTTGTACAGTTAGTTACTGGAACTGCTTTCTGTCAAACCGAGTCCTAAACAATATTCGGGCCAAGTAAACAAAAATCTTATTACTACAGAAATTACCTTCACTAAAATTTACACAAACAATATTCCCTAATATGAAGTTTCACACCAAGAGATCCAAGTTTATTGTGCAGCACCAATAAATGAAGAAAGTGGACATAACACAACAACATTACCTCAAATGGAGTTTCTTCAAACCTTGCGGTAACAACCTTTCTTGGAAAATCAGACCAGAAAAGAAAATGCGTGTATAACCTTTTCGACACTTTGCGCTTTACAGGCTTCAACTTTTCCCTGAAGATAAGTATCTTGGAAGTTCCAACATTGTGTGCACCTGCATGCGGATGTCATACGCATTTCTAATAACGGTTACTTACTCAGATAACGTCTTAGTTGACCAACTCGGAACTGGATCCATCAACAATAACATATAAGCATGGCAAGTATCAACAATCAAAACATCTTAAAACCCCATTAATCAATTCATAGCTGTCTCCTTATTAGTCGTCACAGTTAATAAATTGAACACTGGGAATGTGTTGCACCTTGTAGTAATCTTCCCCACCTTGTACCAATCTCTCCGTCCAGTCTCTTTTCATTCTTTCTACCTTCAATTCCTTTAAGCAAGATGTGTACTTTAGCCCATCCGGAGGTTCCTTCAACTTTTTGCAATTGTCTATAGTCAAAGTACGAAGACATTGGCATCGACCCTTGTTCTACTCTCCACTCTTCCATTTCTTTTTGATAAGATATCTTTAGAGCACATAATTGTGGATATCCGCCTCTTGAGCACACCATTCTCCTCCCCAAGAAAGCACCAGATGAAAAATAAACCGACTTCAAGTGTAGCAACTTTTCTAGTATCGGCATTGGATCCTCCTCCATGCGGCATCCGATTAGCCATATGTGTGCAAGGTGAGGAGGGAACCGATATTGATCCGGAAACCTTGGCATATGCGTGGACAATGTTAAATCCTTTAGATGAATAAAATCCATAACGATTTCTCCCACATGATCAGCCACATGGATTTTTCATTTCACGAAGAGATGATGATAGATTTTCAAAAGTACACTCGCCACTGAAAGTCACACTGAGAACCCTGACCTTAGTCATACGAATGAGGTCCGTGACACTAGTGTGTTTCGTTGAGAAATTCATCAAGACAAGGTACCTCAGTTCTTGCATCTCTTTCAAAACATTTGGCACGTGAACAAGGTGTAACAGATCAACAACACCTAAGTTCAAACATAGCAGAAGCTTTAGATTCCGAAGAGAAGAAGGTAGATGAGATACCCCAGCCTCGTACAAACTCAAGAATCTCAAGTGGATGAGGTTTCCAATGCTGGAAGGTAACTTCCCTCCTTCAAAGCGTACGTAAGAAAGATCTAGCAATGGTAAACTTTGGAAACATGGAGGCTTCCAAAAGTTGTCATCGACTCCAAAAATCAAAACAGATCTGGCATTTTCATTGTTTTTATGTCTCAACATATCAAGTGCTTTACCACTATGTACAATGAGTCTTCGAGATCTACAAGGAGACTGAGCATTGATGGTAAAGGTACTTGAAGTAGGGACTTTGATGACTTGAAGAAAGTTCTCTTCTTTGGCTTTAGAGAAACATACTTCTCTCATCAGGTCATGCATTTGGCAATGTTCCATTCTCGAAGTCAAATAGCTTTCTTCAACAATTACCATATTTCTCCTCACTAGCTCTTCCAGGTAGCTTTCTCCACTATCTTGAATGGTTGATCCATCGTAAACTGGCGTTAATATTCCTTCTGCAACCCAGTAATTGAACAATATCTTGATTTCTATCTTGTAATCTTCCGGGAAATGAGCAATGCTTTAACTGCATAGGCAAATCCTCATAGCTCAGAGACAATACTCGGTAAAACGAATTGGGATTGTTGTCATCTAAGCCAGATATTCCTACGATCTGAGTTCCAATATTGTCATATACTCTTTTCCACTCGAGAGCTGTATGTTTCTTAGCTAACAACCCTCCCAGCACTTTAACAGCTAGTGGTAGTCCTCCACAATATGTGACCATTTCCTTACCCATAGCTACCATTTCTTCATCAACCCTTAATTCTGCACAACATCACAAGGTAAGAAGCAGGCTGTAAAATAATATTCTCAAGATTCTTGGTCAAAAATTAATGCGTACCAGTTTCATCTCTCCTTGGGAATGCTATCCTCTCACATAGCTTCCAACTTTGTTTGGGAGTAAGGATTTTTGGTCTAAAGGCAAAACATGTTGAATCTGCATGTAAACCAACACCCTCGTTGCGAGAAGTAAGTAGCATCCTCCAACCTGCAAAACATTTCTGGTTTCATTTCGATAGGGAATAAAAGGCATCTATGACCAATGTGTGTCGTCTTGCTTTCATTTCTCTCCTTTTATAGTTACTTATGACATTGAAAAAAAGAAGTGACTTATGTATTTACAATTGCTGCTCACCTCTTGTTTGGGGAAACACTGCTTTTATTCGGTCCCAGTCGTCTTCTTTCCATACATCATCAAGGACAACCAAATATCTACCGGTTTCCAACAATTCAAAGAGTTTACCCTGGAGTGTATATTCGTCCATCTGTATAATATCCTCGTAATGTGGTCTAAGATCTTGCAAGATCCTCTGCCAAACATCCTTTCGATCAAACTGTTGTGAAACACAGACCCATGCAAATCCATCAACATGACGTCGGACAGTATCATGATGAAAAACTTGTCTAGCGAGGGTGGTTTTACCAATACCACCCATCCCGGATATAGAAACCACTTGAATGTTATCATATTCCACCAAAGGACCAATCAGTTCTTCAACACTCTGTTCCATTCCCACAAGATTGCTTTCACAACTGTTTGAAAATGTTTGTCGGATCTCTCTTTGCTCCCTTTGTGTTTCTTGAAGAGACAAAGAACGACCACCATCGATGATCTCTTGTATCCCATAACTCTTCATTACCCCACTCACCTCAGAGATCCTCTGAGTAATGCCTTGGATATCTAAAGCAAAATTCCGGCGATCTACTAAAGAGCAAGCAAGTCTTTTCACACGCTTCTTGATCCCTTTTTCTTTTCCTCCAAACTCTTTGAGAAGAAACCATTCGATTATATCCTCAGCATCATAGACAATGTCCTTGACATCTTCCAAGAAGTTTCTCACCATTTCACTCTCATATTTCTTTGCGTATGCATCTTTCAACAACGACCTTCCAAGCTGACGCTTTAGTCCAGCAACTTGCTCATCTATTCCAGTCAATCTTTCAGATTCTCGACTCAAAAGCCCCCATAGCTTTTCAAGTCCAAAGGACACAACTACCTCAGCCATAACCCTTTAGGAGAAAATATCATGGACACATCCTTCTAGTGAGACTTGAAACCTCTTTGAAATAAGAAGAAATAGAAAATGACAACCACTGTATACGACCGTTGAGGCGCCAAAATAACCGAATGAATAAACGCGCTTACAAATCTCCCACCTCCCCATAAATAGCCCTAAGCAGCAGCTTCTCAATTCTCAAAACTTTCCTACGCTTCCTTCTCTGCACAAATTTCCCCAAATTCTTCTGCTCCTAATTCTCTGTGAATCTCTTTGTCACTTTTCGGATATGAATCCTCGGGTTAAGTTTCAACTGCACCAGCAAAAACTTCCACCATCGGAAGGTATGGCAAACACAGTCTATGTCATACTTAAAACCGTTACTGAAGAGATCCACCCACCAGAATTCAGACCTTACTCGGATCATCCACCCGGATTCCTCGTCTCCGGTTATCATCAACTTTAGTATAGATAGTAGCACATGCCGCAGTCAAATCAGTGATCTCCTCTTCGTTCGAATCGTGAATGATCGTTGGCTATGCGATTGCTTAACCTCGCGCATTGCTTCCGCTGCAAAACAATTAGGTTTTGGCATTAACGGCTTCGAAATTACCCTGGTCGTGACTCTAACCTACCAAAGAGTAGTCGTGTCTGTGCTTGAGAAGCTTGTTTTTCAAGGAACAATCGATGAAGAGGAACTGGAGATATCCCAGATCGAAACAGAACCGTGTTCGATCTGTCTGGAGAATCTCTCGGGTGTTCCTACGCGCATGCCGTGTTCGCATGTCTTTCACGATCGATGTCTCTTGGAATGGTTCAGCCGCAAAAATACTTGCCCCATATGCCGGAGAGCTCTGTCCCAATGAAATCGTCTCTCCTCTGTTTTTGGGAAATTAGGGCTTCATGTTTTGTTTGCACAAGTGAATTGAATTGGTGTAACACGCTCTGTACCCAATTTTATTATTTTAGAAATTGTATGTAAGTAAGTTTGTTCTTGTATTTTCGACGCGTTCGAAAACGAAATTTAATTAGGGCTCGGAAATCAATTCAAGGGGAGGTTTATCATAACTTAT